AATATATCGGCATAATTAGTGTCGCTTTCCTTGGAAGCTTTATTGGCGTTCCAGCCTCAATCGCCCAGCTCGAAAAGATAAAACAGCTGATCCGTGTCCATCATTTCATTGACAAATTTTTTGTCGCTGACCACCATATTTCCCGTTTTAAGTTTTGAGTTTTTTCAGTCCCATGATCTCCTATATAAACTTTCGCGTGAATAGATAGATCGATTCGGTGAGCTCAATCCATGGCCTAGAGATCGGATTCCAATCGTGCTTCACAAAGATGACCGAGTCCGCTCCGTTTAGATTCAACCCCGGACCGACGGGCTGAGTCGTCAGCAGCAGCACATAAATGCAGGGATCACCGTTGAACTTTGTCGGGATTTTATGACGTGAACTAGTTGTGGCACCTCTATCCAACCGCATACAGGACACTGCCTTCAGGTGCATCTTCAGCAGATCATGCTCAATGATATCTAGCATGGCCATTAGCAAAAATGCAGATCGCCTGTAAGACATATCATCCCACAGGGAAGTTTGGTGATCCTGGGTAATTGTAATTTATTAATGTGAAGATTTGATGGGTGTGAAGAGATGCTCGAGGAAATCCTTGTGCTTGAGTTTGCGATCCTTGAGAGCTGAATTAGCGTGGCAACAACAGGTCGATACGATTCACTGATACTGAGTCGATCGACGTAACTTGGTCTACTTTGATTCTCCGTCATCTGCTGCCACAGGACTCGGCAGAGGATCGTTGAATTACAAGCAGATTTTGATATTGGCATGCGTGGCACGAAACCGCTGGGTATGGGCATGCTTGCGACTAGTTTCTTTATTTTCGTTGTGGATATCTTTGGCCGTTGGAGCATCCGAGATAACTGATGCTGGCCCTGCCGGGGCCTCGAAAAGCATTAGGCGTGATCAGAGATGAACATCCCGGCGGCACCGACTAAGATTGTACCCAGGCCTGCTGGAGTGAGAGGTAATCACGCTTACCACTACACCACCGGCGGATTTCGACGTTAGCGAGTCAATTGTATAGGCCTATTCTGCGCCTCGAAAGAGGTGAGGTGACTCACTGTCACTAGTAAGGTGATAATGTGACACCATGATCTCAGATCTCAGCACTCCTACGTAGTTCGCTAGATTTTTACAAATTTAGCTGAACTTCTGCATAGTTTGCTGAACTTCTTCGAAATTTTCCGCAATTCAAGAAACGCATTAAATTTTAATGTTTATTTTTATATAAAGTCCTAAGCAACATTGGCATAATCTCTTCATCGACATACAAGTAAGATGAAAGAATAGATTATAGATTCTAGCATTATCTGTCAAAAAACCCGAAAACGTATGCATTGTGCGCCGGCCTTAAGGATTTTTGTTTTTGTTGTATAATTTTGGAAAATGGATCTGTCAAACAGCCAAGACCTCGACAAGCAATGAACTGGATTACCGAGGTTAAGCAATCGGTTAAGTTGTGTGAGTAAAACCCCTGTGCGAGACAATAAATTCAGTGCCAACATTTCAAATGTCGTAATTGCGTTTGTAAACAATGGTTTTAGTCGTCGATTTCTTGCGAATGAAAGCTCACTCATAAAAATGAATGACACCAGCAGGTAGATAAATGTTTCGTGTACCAGCTAGCATTGGTAATTTGGAAGGGTGGGCTTTTATTTGCGAGAAATCGACGGCTAAAGCCATTGTTTACAAAAGCAATTACGCCCCTTTGAAATGTTGGCACTGAATTAGTGACGTTACTACTTGCGTTTACGTTGATTTTTACAAACGTTTACCTTTACTAATACAACAATATTTCACGATCTGCTTCACCTCTCTCTGTACGACATTACTCGACAAGGACTGGCATTCTCACGTGTCCATAGATAGTGAGCTCTGAAATAACGAAATAAACAGTGACCTGCGAACTTTAAATGTGATAGCAGGCTTTAGTGTAAGGTGCACTAATTAAACTAGAATAGAAGTCATCATAATTTACTATGAGACTTGCTGGAGAAAAGGAAATCGTATTAATGCTCATTTGTTTCTCAAAATGGCTGGCTACTTCGTTTTGTGGGAGGAAGGTTTGTTATGTAGTAATGCTGTTATTTTATTCATTTCAAGACCAACAATTGAAATGGCCTTAACTCCATTTTGTAAACAAACCTTGTAAGGTCATTTTCTCGCGAACCAAAACATTCATTCGCAAACTTAATTTTTTTAAAGCGAGTTCTGTATGACGTGATCTTCACGAGTACTGTTGCTATCAGGAGTGGTTTTGTGGTCAATTGTCGAGATTCCATTTTAAAATTATATAATGCAAATGGTGGTTACTAATTTAAATATTTTATTTATTAATTCTATTTTTTTTACAGATACCGACAATACAAACATTGTCGAGAACGAAGCTCTGTCAGGTATTCAAGAAAGTGATGTTTTTTCTGACAGTAATATTCCTCTTGTGATGCAGTCTATGCAACCTCCACCGCAAATCATCGCCATGGTGCCTGGTGCTTCCCAACCATCTGGTTCAACGTGTTTATGGAATGTCCACCACCCGGTAGTAGTACAATCGTTGGAAAAATTACCTGATACCGTTGCTGTTGTACCTGGTATGACACATAAATCTGATGTATCACTGCAGGATCAGGACACGACTACAAGCTCTTCGCTTACTAAGGTCGACTCAGAAAGCGATCATCTCGACACGGTTTCTTCGCTGAATTCTGACCCGAAGGACGTGTTTTTTCAAGAACCAGTGAGTGATACCAACGATAATGTGCTTACACAAAACGAGAATCAATCTCCAAACAAATCTCAAAAAAGACAACCATCAACCGCTACGGCAGACCTCAAAATCACGAAGAGCTCGAAGAGACATGCGACCACTGATATGAAGTTTCGTGCGTTTGACATAAATTGGCAGAAAGTAAGTGATAGTATTCTACTGCGGCTGAAGAAATTACAAGATTTTCGTGACAAAAATCCCACCGGAACTGTTCCCCGTGAAAAGCAATTCCCAAAAAGTGAGTTGACAGCGTTGGCAAACGCGATTGTGGACCAATTAAGGGTCATAAACGTACACATTACTGCCAGTACGATGGAGGAAGTAGCGAAACAAGTGTTGTCTAAATACCCGTGTTTGAACTTCGTCGACGATGACGGTTTCGGGACCGGTCAAAGTTTTGTGGTATTAAAACACAAAATGATTAATAGAAACACATATTTGAACCGGTACAAAGATTCAGACTCACGATCATCTGCAGCTGAAACTAAAAGAAACAGAAATGTGAAAGCTGGGACAATTAAAGAATATTGGGAAGTTTCGGCGGAACAGTGTTCCAAAGATATTCTTTCCAAACTGACACGGGATGAGACTGGTGTTTTGACTGTGGAGTTTTTAACTGCATCGCAGGCCTATATTCGCTTCTATCTGGATCAACCGGAATCACTTAAGGAATTACTTGCCAGACTCCCCGTTCTTCGTCGTCGCCAACTGATTAGTTTTCATTTTGAGAAAGCAACTGGAGTTCAGCTTAACTCTCTCGAAAAGATGTTCCTTGCTAAACGAGCTAAAATCATCGATTTCTCAGGATCTAGCCGGCCAGCACTCGTGATGGATAAACATGCGACAGATTACGACATTCTAAAATTTTTGTGCTCCTCGTTAGGAGAAAACATAGTCCATCTGATCATTCAAAAAGAGGTAAACTTTACATGAGATTAGGACTTGCAGCTCAGAAAAGTAAATTGTTATTTTTTTCAGATTGGTACTAAAGTGGCTGATCTAACTACAGATTGTGCAGGACCAGTACTTGTTGCTGTAGGTAAGGAAGGAATTTAAGTTATATTCTTCAGTTACACCCTTAATTCTAGCCTTGATACTTTTTTTTTTGTTAAATTTCCATTGTTCGAAAATGAAATCAACAGTCATTTTTTCAAAATGATGTATCTAATTTTGTAAACAACCACTTCAAGCGACGGTCTTAAATGCAAACATATTCAAGCAAACTAACACCATCATCAGATAATTTACCAGCTATTTTTTTTTCAAACTAATCTAGCACTTGGTACAATCATCGATTGCAGCGATTGTTAACAAAATCACATACAACCATCTGAAAAGTGACGTTTGAAAAAAGCGATGCTGTAATAGAGCAAGTCCATCCGACTTAGCGATTAGAAAACTTCTTGTCGACGGTCATACCAAAACAAGTAGGGTTCCGAGACTATTTGTAACCTTCACTTCGGCAAATCAGTTTTTAAACAGTTGCGCAAATATGTTACTAACATTTTTTAGTAAGCTACGAAATTTTCTGTAACATTGCAGGTGATAAGTTTTACATATTATCATTGATTTAAGGTCGTAAGACAGGAATTGAAATCGAACACAACTAACGCTAAACCCTATATTGAGCCATTTTGGCTCGATACGCTAAGACATTTTTGGTTCGACCGTTTTTTGTCAAATTAATAGACAAATTTCATGGATTTGCAGCCTTTTATAATATTACAATGCTATGTTCTATACGAATACTAATCTTGTTTTATTTTTCTTAACTATTCTTTCAGACCTGGGAAACGATAAACATGTATACTACGTGATGGTGGAACAGGTTCGGCTGACGGAAGGAACCCAAAATGTTGTGACTGCCATTGCTGATCTCCTAAGTGTACACTATGTGTATAATTTCATGTATATGAAACAGATATCCAAGTTTTTGGAGTTCGTTCAAGAATATTTTTGCAAAATCTTGCCGGTGTCTGGATCCAAATCGAGGGCTACAAGAAAAAGCCAGCAGCAACGCATGGTTAAGCGACTGATTGAAGGTATCTCTAGCCATACAGCAACAGCAAGTCTAGCCCGTCAGATAAACTGAGTAGTGATTTCCTACGTTGAATGACATTGTACTAATGAGTTTCTCACAATGTCCGAAGATTATAATTTTTCATAATCATTTTTAACCTATCTCCTCTGTTATTCCTAATATTGTTTGCTCAACAATCTCAAAACATTTGTATTGGTTGACTTTGTTCCGAATAAAATAGATGCCAAAATACAACGTTGAATGCAAAATCACTGCGTAATCTATCTTATAAGAAAATCAAACCCCTAGCGGAGTAGATCATTGCCTTCATCCATAAGTTACGGTTATGTAATTTTATCATTCCAACGCAACCCATAATTTTACAGCCAATATACAGGTAAGTAAGAGGTAATGTAATAATTATATACCACGCCTTAATGGGGAGGGAGTATAGCAATATAGTAATATATTTGGCATAGGATAATCGTCACTTCTGGGAATGTATTTTATTTCAAAAAATACTTGGAAGCGCTGTGATGGAATGCAAATGGGGAGAAAGGAACAGTTCGAAATAAGCATAATCAGGGATAATCAGGATATCTTGCAAAGCCATTGATAGGGATGCAAAGGAATTGAAAATTAATGAATGGGATGGGAATTTTTTCTGATTTTTTTTACTGACGGCGATACCCTAATAAAAACATACCATAACCGAATGGTAACCCAAATGATTAGACTATTCTACAAACGGTTTGGATGATACCCGGAACACGTCTTTAAGCAAAATTACCATAACAATTTTATTAGGATATGTATGCAGAATTTGTGGATATACTTCGGATGTAGATTGAAGATGCTTCCGGATAATACACAAATCTAGCAATAGTAGGTTTCATTGGTTTGGTATTCGATTGCTATATATTGATTTGGTGAAATAATTTAATCAATATAACTATACAACAGACAACTTTTGCTGTCTTTTTGACTATAGGTATGCGATGACTGCCTTTCAAAGGAAAATTATGTCTAAAAGATGTAAAATTGCAGGATTTTGAAAAACTATCAAAATCAGTAAAAATGAGCACCAGTGACAGAAATTTACGTCACGACATGTAAAAATATGTCTTCAGTTTATGGTTCGAGTAAATTTAAGAAAAGACGTAAATTTAGGTCGATTAAGCTGCTTCTTTTGAGTACATCTAAAAAGATTTAAATTTACATGAAATTTTTCAAGTGTGTATGTCAAAAATGACGCTCGTATATGTCAGTCTCAGAGCACCTAAATTTACATGAATTTTTTTAAGTGTGTATGTAGAAACTAAAAATAGCTTGCCTTTTTGCTGAATATGTTAACTTTGGTCTAGAATCTCCAGGTTTTTTTTTTTTATATTATTGACGCCAAAGCAATATTTCAAATGAAGAGAAAAAACACCAAATTATTTATTACACACTTAGAAATAGCTTATTTTACACGTGACGGAATCCATCTTTGACATAAAAGATGGGACGTAAACAAACATGTCATGCCACATTAAATGCTCTGAGACTGAAAAGTTCGTTGCTCGATGAAAAGAACGTTTGATTGAGCTATATTTCGTGCCTGTTATGCCTCAACATTACGTCAAAATTGACGCTCGTATATGTCACTCTTGAATTTTTCTAAGTGTGTACTATTCAAACCGAAGGTTATGAATTGGGAGGTAGAATACTCACAAAATCAAAAGAGGGAGATTATTTTCCAATTAATTCCACGTAGCATTTTGTGTCCTTGACATATACGTATTTCGCCTACAATGAGCAGTCTTCATCAGTGGGAATAACAATGATGAAAACTGCACATTGTAGTCGAAATATGTATTGATCATGGATGCTAAATACTTTAAATGGAATTAAATGGAAAACGATCATCTTTATTTTTGCAATATTCAAACCCATGTTCATACACATATAACAAACGTCCAAATGATTGTACTGAAAACCATACCCTCCAAAGCCTATTATTAATATTAAAATAACAGCTTGCATCCAACATACTTCCTCCATACTTTCCAAATGTATCAATAAACTAAGACAAGCCATTTAACCATTCGAACACGCCTATTGCCGATTGCTGTGCAACTTACATGTAACATCCAGCAGTTCTGCATTTCTGCCGTGGCGTGGCGTGCGGCGGCACTGGCGTTCGATAGCCCTTTTTCTTCCGACTTCAAATTGAATGCTGTGATTCCTTGCGGTGGTGGTGGTGGTGGTAGCACTACTATTTACTTGTTGCCGCTTAAACAAATTTAAAAACTGCCTCCGCTTCCAAGTTCCAACATCATCATAACATTCGCAGCCGTCGTGTGCCATACGGGAATAGGCAGATCTAAACCACACGCTGCCATTTGCGGTTACAATGTATCGATTGAACGATATTTACTCTCGGTTTCGTTTTTACTACAGTCCTACGCCTCTGCATTATTTGTATGCTTTATGTTGCATGGCAAAGTGAACATAAAACCTTTTACTGCGTGTCTTAATTATAAACCTTAGCCCGATGATCCAAGAAGCTGCGAATAAAGACTACTTTCGTAGGTGGGACATTAGGGTGCTTCATTTAAAACAGAGTTTTTGGTATCATAACGGCCATCCTTCAGTTTGATTTATAACCCCAAAATTTTAACCTGTGCTAAAACTGGCAAGGATGCATAAGGAGTTGCTCAAACAGTTTACAGTTTGTACATAGAATACAATTCTGAATTACAACCATCGGCGACAATCTTCCCTCGATAATTTGTGAGGATACATAATGAAATTGCATGCAATATTGTGCGAAATGTTGATGATTTGTTTTAATATTGCGCAATAATTTATACCAACATGTGCGCTAAAAAGCGCAGAAATTTACATGAATTTTTCATACGGTGTATGGGGATCATTTTGGAAGATTTTAATGTCATTATATCGCTTTAACTTTGGTTCTAGCTACCCAACTGCTGTCAATTTTAAATATGTAAATTCTAAGATGCTATGTAAAATATCTGCTAGCCTAAAGAATGTTTGTCAACACAAAAAAATTCTGAATTCTACTGGTGATGTAAACATTCATGCATGTAAACTTCCTTTTCACGTAAATATATTCAATATTCTTTGACATGTGTCATACATTTACATGCTCAATAATGTGAACTTGTATGATGTATGACGCTCCATTTATGTGCAGAAATTTACACTACTTTTTCGAATTGCGAATTAGTAGCAATTCAAGAAAGATTGAAAAGCAATAAAAAATTACAAAATAGGTATCAAACAACATTTTGATTACAACATTAATCTGCTTCTTCATTATTGTCATAGTATTCATATAGATTGACACCATTTTGACCACTTGAACCGAATATAAACCGACATTTGTGAAGTAGTTCACCGTCTAAATTTCAAACTTTTTATTTTAAATCTACAATTGTTTGCACAGTTCATCGTTCAGCATCTTGTTAAGTAAATTAAAGGATGACTAAAGTGATTGCAAATACCTCATTTTTAAAAATGAAGCACCCTAGCCCGGGGGAATGTGGCTGCGAAGCAGTTGTTTCAACCAACTAACCCGAAAACCCAATTCCTAATACCTAAATGCACTAGATATTCCTCAAGCCCACCGCCCATCACAGATAAACCATAATTCCATTTATTATTATATCATCTCATCCATAAACAATATTCAATTACTAACTATTAGCAGCTACTACCGCTTATCAGAACATTTCCAACCGAGCCATAAATCATGCATGCAAAGTGGAACCGACTACGCCTACGCCATCAACAAACGCTGCAAACACGAACATTTGCACGGCTTACATAACCTTCAACTCGTCGAGCCCAGCCAGTAGTGAGCCTTATTTTCGACCAACATTGTATGGTTTAATGACCGATTCGAATCAGCCGACTTCTTTTTTTTTCCTTCTTGCCAGCTTGCCGTATGGCCATGTTATGCGAATGCACACGCTGCATTTGCATCTTGCATCGGTACATTAGGCCTAACTAAAGTCATTGATTTCCACAGAGCGCCCGAAATAAGTAAATGTACCTGCCTACATCGTAACAAATTGCATTCGAGCGCATGCCGGTTGTTGTTATGCCGTGCGATGCTAGTGTGTGCATTCAAGGAGAAAGGAGTTAACGAAAACAAAATTGAACGAAAGAATTCCTGGACATGCAAGGCGCACTTTCTTTGCAGGGAGTCCACCGTCCGACGCCCGACTCGGTTCGGCATCGCGCCAAAACGGAATTGATGCGTGGAGTGATTGATGACCGTGGTAGGGAAGCAAGCCGACGGCAGGTTGTGGACTTAGATGAATTGTCGGAATGGGAACTGAACAAAATCAAATTGAGTTTAAGGAAGATAAAAAATTAAAATATTTTTAATTTTTGGATATAAGGCCGGAAAAAATCTCAAGTTTTTCTTTTGGCGAACTGGTGGTAAGTATGATGGCGATATCCTCTATTCAGATATAGATGCAGGAATGGCGATGGTGCCATTTGCCGTAGTTTCTCCGGGTGGCCGGCTCGAAGGACCAGATGTAGCAGTGGAGAACAGCGGAAGACTTCTGACCTCAATTTACCAACGCTCGTTGCTCATCTTCCTCGCCCACGATGGCGTTCTAGTATTTAATGCATGCCGGACTAATTGTTTGGAACCGTAATAGATTTTGGTTTCTTCTCACAATCACTTAGTTTATTTTAAAACACTTGCACCGAACATTTATTCACACGACATTAACATTAAAAGTAACTTTTTATTCTTAAAACACTACAATGAACTTAATAAACTAGTTACAAAACAAGCAATATATTGTACCGGGTCAGTGACCGGTCTCGACGAGATGGTGAAGCAACACTGGTCGGTCAATCTCCCTCGTTGTAGATCCTCGCCTCATCTAGTAGGTAGCCATCGATCGGTGCTCATATCTCCCGCTCTCATGCAAATGCCCCTAGGAATAAGTTTCTCGAGAGTATCCCCATGCGAATGTATTGCGATCAACGGTTAAGCTGTGGTTGATTCTCCCACTCGATAGTAGGAATGTGTGTAGTCAGTACAATTAAACTGATAACGAACTGAACCAAGTGTTGCGTCGATCATGCAGTGGTATTCTGAAGCAATTTGCATCTCGCATGCAAACAAAGTCTAAACTTTTCTGCTATGTTATTCAATCCTTTTTAAAGTTGTCAAAGCTTTCCTGAAGGGATTCAACAAATCCCGAATCCAATCTTTAAAGAATTGGTTTGGCATTTTCTGAAGTGAGGTAACATTAGCTGATTCAATCCGTTACCT